ACTATAAAAATCACTTTTTAAATTTGAAACAATTTTTATGTCGCAGAGCTTTGTAATTGCTTTTTTGCAACTGCAGATGCCTTCTTTTTTTTTTTGCAACTGCAGGTAATGTAAGCATTTTAGCAATTACTAATTACTACTTTGTATATTAACGCTAATATAATATGATATTTGTAAATCACGATTTTATAAAAATGGGGCTCAGTAATAAGACAGAATTATATCTCCTTTTTGCTCCAGCCATTACTTATTTTGTTGCATATATATGAAAATTGCATTTATTGTAGAATACGAAATAAACATATTTAAAAAAAATTCACTTTCCTAAAATTAAAAAAGTAAAAATTTAAAAAGTAAGATAAAAAGACGCAATCCCAAAACATGTAACACTGATGAATCAGAATTGACTAAAACAATAAACGTGTACTAATGTGAATGTCAGGAGACTAATAAAGCTTGAATAGAGACACCAACTGTTTTAGATATTTGTCTCTATTCTTCCTCTGAAAGGGTTATAATAGTGTAACTGGTAAAGATTTTTACAATACGATATGGGACAAAATAGGACATGTAACCATTCCCTAGAGTCTAAATTGAATTTCAAAACATCATTATGTTCAAGAATTGGTTGATCTGTTCATCCTATTATTTGAGAATGGCTGAACAGTGATTTGTCCTCAACTTGAGGAAAAACAAAGTCATCCTCGTATTTTGTAAGACGCAGAGGTATTCCAATTCCTTGTAAAAAACTTTATAAACTCGACCCAGCTACAGTTTCTGTTTCTTTCCTATAATCTTGGCAATATTGAAAACATTCCCACACTGTCCAATTCACCCCCGTATTGGACATTTTTTCCCATAAACTTGAAATCAATCAAAATATATTATTTAGCGTTAGGTGTACGTTCTTTAACTTCTCACAGTTTCATTAAGTTGCTTGAGCAACAATTCGGTAAAATTTCACAATTTTAAAAGCTTATGTGCTATTCTCTGTGCTACAAAACATTTGACTAGAAATTAGTTTCCTAGTTCCAAAACTTCTATTTTAATATGTAATGTTTTGTATAAAGGTTACTTTATATATATATATATATATATATATATATATATATATATATATATATATATATATATATATATATATATATATATATATATATATATATATATATATATATATATATATATATATATATATATATATATATATGTTGCTGCTTACTTTTTCCATGTTCTGTCATTTATGATGTAAACACTTATTTCATACTTTTGAAAAAGTTTGGAATTAATGTTTAAGATGTTTAAAATAAGTATTTATACGTAATAATACGTATTTCAAACGTATAAAACTCGCGTTGTGCCGACTAGGCAGCTATGCGGTGGGTTTTTCTCTAAAATCATGAACAATAATCGCCAGTTCAAAAATATATATTCTCTGAGGTAAAAACACTAAACTCTTCGTTTTTAAAAATATTGATGCTTTTAAATCTCATTGCCTTTACTAAAATTATTTTGTTATTCCAGTGCCGTAGCTAGAAATTTCGGGCCCATAGGCAACAATCTGTGGTCGGCCCCACCCACATAACCTAACTCGGCATAACGTAATTTATAAAAGTAAAATTGTGTTCGTAATTTTGTATTTGTAGTTTTACATTTGTTTCTTGTTGAAAATCAATAAAATATTTGAACAAATTAAAATAAAAATTAAAAATAAACGACTTAATACGCTGAAAAGTTTGTGAGCTTGTCTTTCATGAAAATGCAATATTACAACTTAAAAGTAATAAGTTTAGAATACTGTTAATAAGAAGTTTTTCTTTCTTGCTTTTGCGTTTGCAAAATCATTAACAAGATCTGTATAATCTAATTTTGCTGCCTCTTTATGTTCAATAGCTAGTATTGCAAAATTCCGTAATCTGCTTTGGCCGATAGAATTTCTTTTGTAATCTTTTATAATTTTCAATTTGCTAAATGACCGTTCAACAGTGGCTACTGTAACTGGAAGTGTTAAGAACAACAGAAAGAAGTAAAGATTTCAGAAAATTAACTTTCTAAGAAGTTGTACTTTGCAAGAAGCAATTCTGAAAAAGTTTTTATAGACATTTTTTTTTTATTTAATTCTTTTTTTATTAGAGAAATTGCGTAAAGAAACTAAATTTGAAATTCAGAGGATATCACTTTTGGGTATTTGTTTTTGAGGTTGGCGCATAACTTTAAATGCTCTGTTTCTGGTAAACTAACAATGTTTTCATCTCTCTTTACTTTTTTTTTTTAATTTCAAATTGATTTCAGTCAAAGCTTTCAATATATCAATATAGCGAACTTTAATAGCTATTAAAGACTGTAATCTACCGAACCAGCAAGTAGGGTTCAGATTTTTTGAGTTAATCTCTGACACCCAGTGAATGAAGATAGAAGATCCCACCTCATCATGCGATTTCCAAAAAAATATATATTCTGAAGAGTGGCAAAGTATGACGATACTTCACGGCAGCGATTAACGCAGTTATTAATTACCAAATTGAGAATATGACTGCCACAATGCACATACTCTGCATTTGGTTGAATTTATTTAATTCTTGTTTGTATACCATTGTACACACCACTCATAACATTAGCCCCATTGTAACGTTGTCCATAACATTTTTCTATGGGAATATTCATTTCTTTCAGAATCTGCATTACCTGATCAGTCATACCTTCTGCTAAATGGTCCTTTAATTCATGAAATCCTAGAAAGGTTTTTCCAAATTTCGTGTACTGTACATGCTTTAATGTGTTGTTGGGAACAATTATGTGTTTCTATGCGTGGAGACAAATTTTTCCGATCTCTTATACCAGAACGCCTTTGACTATTGATATTTGAGAACAGCCAGCAAGGTTCACAATATTCGGCGTCCAAAACAATGGAATAGCAGAGCCACATGTGTGGTATTGGACTATATTTGGCGATAGAATAAAAATAAGTTTCACTAAAACAACTATTTTGTTGAGTGGGATCTTTAGTAAAGGGTCCTTATGGTCTATGGGTGGAACGATTTATTATTGATCTCTTTTTTTCATCTGAAATGTTTTGATTGCCCAAGATCAGTTATAATAATTACATCATCTCTTTCTGTTTGAATAATATTGACACTTTGCACTTCTATTAATACGTTCCTATTTATCTCCTGACTCTCTTCAAAAGCATCTGCTAATTCGATGTTATTATCGTGTCCCCGCTCAATCATTCTATCATTGTTGTTGACATATTTGCAACTCTGTCTTCTCTTTCTGTGCAAATCATTGTTTTTTATTTTTTCAATTCTTCTTCTTTTTATTTTCTAAGTTTTCTTTTACATGCTTTACTCATCGTTTTTGTTTTTTTTAAACCACCCATATTTAAGTAGAGGTTAGATACAATTATTTTTTTATAATTTACAAAATCTATCTACAAATGATCAAACAGGATACGCAAAAACTATTAAAATGTAAGTGCAAAAAGTAAATTTTGATTAAACGTTGTTTACAAGATACAGTGGCTACGGTTACGGATGTCGATAATTTATAATCTAATTTTAGCAAGATGTAGAGTCTAAAATTACGAAAGTTGATCACTTAAATCAAATTTTGACATAATTTTTGAAAAAAATTGAAATAATCTAAAGTAAAGGGCCCCTGACAAAAGGACCCCAAACTGTGTGGGCCCCTAGGCATTGCCTACTTTTGCTCTATGGTTTATACGCTATTGTGTTAATCTCATAATCACGATGCTTTTAGCCTAAATCTATCATTTAAAAAAATTGGTGTCTCTATTCAAGCTTTATTAGTCTCCTGACATTAAAATTTTTTGATGCATTTAATGTCTTTTTTAAAAAATATTTTAAACTTCGGTCTTACGTTTTTTTTGTTTTTTTTTATTTAGGTGCTCCAAGAAGACCTAACGGTCTTGTCACAGGGCACCGCGGAAGTGCATTTAACCAGGAAGTTCACGCCTCCTTCCTTACCGTGACGCGAAACATGTCCAAAGCTCGTTTCGATCCTAAGACTCCTGCTTATAAAGCCAGCGCTTTAACCACTGCGCCACGGCCGCAATTATGTGTACTGTTTAGAGTTTGATCAAGGATTCTTTTAAGTATTTAAAGTTTTTTATAAAAAACCAGATTAGAAAACCAAGAGAACCAAGAAAAACCCTTATTTGATATTGTTTGGAAACTTGACTAAACGAGGTTATTGTTGGAGTTAATTTAAAAGTCTTGTTTTTGTTATATTTTATTTTAAATGGAATTATTTTTCCTTAATAGTTTTTTATCGTAAATTTTTTGCTGTTGTTTATTATGTTTTTCATTTCTTATTTTTTCTTGTATGAGTTTTTATAAATTTACATTTTTTGCTGTTAAAGTTCGCGTTCCAATTTTTTGACCATTCTACTAGTTTATCGGTGTCGTTTTGAATTAAATTTGTGTCTATGCAATAGTAATGCAATTTCTAAAAAAGATATTAGCTTACTGTTGTCAGCAAATAATTTGCAGATGGTTGAAGCTAATTCAGGTATATCGTTTATATAGATTGTGAGAAGTAAAAGTGATAATACTTAGCACCTCGAGAAATTTTTTTTTATTTGTACAACGTTTTACTACGCATTGTTTTCTATTTTAATCCATTCATCAAGCTCTTTATTGAAGCTATGTTTTTTATTTAGCTGTTGCTGAAAAATGGTTTATCTATGTTTAATGAGTCGGTTCTCAATAAAAAATTAGTTTCATAAGTTTGAAAAGATGACGGTTTGGTAAAAGTTTCAAAAAAACTTTTTGTTAAAATTTTTTTTTGAGGGGCCATTGGGCAATGGTTAACGCACTTGCATCAGACGCTAGAAATCCATAGTTCAACGCCACCTCTGAGCAAGTTTTATGACATTGGTAAGAAAGGAGGCGTAAACTTTCCATCAAATGCTCGTCCGTGGTAATCTGTAAAAAGACCGAAAGTACTTCTTGGAGCACCTTAAAAAATAAAAATTTAAATTAAAAAAAACAAACTGATTCATTTTTTTTTTTTTGTATAGTTAAGTGAATTCCATTTTTGTTTATCAAGGAACGAATGTCAGTTTTATTAGTTATAAATTTAAAGTTAACTGGCATCAAAAATGTAAACGAGCGACTTCTTTCACACGTGATGGTCCTGCAAGTAGTCTTCGTAGCGCAAAGCATAAAATTCAATTCAAATAAAAAACAGTCAAAGACACAATTTCTTCAAAACTCGAGTCGCACCAACATGGAATGCTTTGCCTGTTTCATAAGTTGCCGCTAATTCTGTCAACGAGTTTAAAAACAGTTATGACAAATGGACTCGTTCTCTTCCGAGTTGGTCTACTATAGCCGGTTGTCGCTAGACGCTTGGTTCATAGAAGTTACACTTCTGTTGTAAAATATAACTATAATAATAATCATTATTTGATAGTCTTAGAGGTTAATACTGAGAAAATTCTGTCTGAAATTCTGTGTTTGTGGACTATTATGTTCTGTTCTGTAGACTTCTGTTCTGTGGACTATTGTGTTCTGTTTTGTGGAGTTTTGTTCGGTAGAATATAATGATTTATGTTATGTACTAAAGATATGATTAAATTAAAAAAAAAAAATTAACTTTAGAAAATACTTACACTACAGAAAAAATGATGATTCTTAGAAAATAGTCTCTTTTTGCTTATGGATATTCACGTTGTCAGAAAACGTGAAGTTTAATTCTTTCAAGTCGGTCGCACAAACACAAAACTTTATTTTAGAATTTCCACCAAGTAAAACATGTGTAGTTATAAAATAAATACACATATATTATAAAGAATATTGAAAAAAAAATTTATTGATTGACTTGAAACAATTGGTGTTTAAAGATTAATTGGATTATACATCATCTATCAAAATACATTAATTGGATTATACATCATCTATCAAAATACATTAATTAGATTATACATCATCTATCAAAGCTTTTTCTGTTCAAGAAGTATAATAAATTGTACCACAATAAAATTGTGGTACAGTCTTATTGTAATAATTATCGGCAAGTCAAAATGACACCTTCACATTGAAAAAGGAAAGTTTTGAAATGTAGTTTGTAACCTTTGAAAGCTGTAATCAAAGTTTAATACTCTCTTAAAAATTGACTGGATAAGTTTTTAACAACTGTTCGAACTATCAGGTGTCACCCAGTGTAGTAAACTTTTGGTGTCATCCCTCTAGACTAACAGATGAAAGGTGAAACTAAAAAAAGTCTTTTAAACCTAGAAATAAAAAAATAGAAACTCTTTCAATCATTGTCACATAGACCATGCATATGGATAGTTTGAAACAAAAGTAAAACCCTCTTCATCAGAAACATCCTGTTCGTTTTTTTAATTTTAAAAACTCGCAGTTTTTAAAGATAAACCAGTGAGAAATCCAGTGAGAGGATGGGGAGTATGCATCCCCCTCCCCCACCAGAATCTGAAAGTTTTAAAATTCCTTTGAGAAATTGAAATTGAGGACCTTTTTTTTTTAGGAGACTCAAAAGTGGTACAAAATACAAAAATGTTTTAACATTTTAGCCCCCACCACCACAACCAAAATTCCAATAAGTGCAAGCTTGGAATATTTTGATTTGAATATTTTACAATTTTGGTAGTTTTAGACATTAGTCATAATTTATACCAAGTCAAATTTACACAAAGTCAAATTTACACAAATTTGAATTTTTTTCAAATTTAATTTTGAAAATTAAAATTTGTACTTTTGAAAATTAATTTTTGTCTTAAAAAGTTTGCTTTCACTTTTTTTTTTTTTTTTTAATTTTTTTTTTTTTAATTTTCCTGTTTATATAAACTACAATTCTCTTTCACAAAAAATAGAATATAGTTACAAATATATAAATAATAAACAGACAGGGGCTCAAAGAAGATGGTAAAATACAAACCTAATCTTTCCATAGAGCCTTTACAGGGGCTTTATGAAAAGGGCTTAGTTGTATTCAGGTTCCATGTACTAGAGGATCAGTTACATTTAAGTTTCATGTTATAAAGGCTGACAGCTGTTCATGCTGCAAAGCATAGTTTGTAAAATTGCTTTAGAATGTGCATACCATACTAACTACCTATTTTTTGGCATAACAATATCTCAAGCATATTTAATCTGAGTTTTAAGTAGTTCTAGTTGATAAAATACATGTCTAGGTCCTTTAAACCAACTTGATTTAACTTTTATATTAAACTAATTAGGTATATAAACACTAATTATAAAGTTCACAATAAATCTTAAATTCTTTAGGTTTCCGTCAGTAAGACCATGATGAGATACCCAAATTCTGCATTATCAAAGTGCTGTTGTTAGCCATCTACTGTGACAGAGTGGTCTAATCTCTAGCATTATTAACCTGATAGGAAGTACTCTAGTCTTTATTGCTTGACAAATATGATAATCATAGGTTTGCTCAGTACTTAAATTCTAAATAGTCTCCTGACTGAGATAAATTAAAGGAGGACTTAAATTTATTTTTTAAAAGTTTGTATTGATCTCCATTTCAGTTGCTGTGTTTAGCATTTTTCTAAATGATCCAGACCATTTGTTATAAAATAGTGTTGCACTATCTAAATTTCTATTAGATGTCTTCCATAATTGACCAGTGTCTAGATCACAAACAATCTAAACTCATCTTTAATTTAATTTTTTTTTTGCCAATTACATGACTCCACCTGCCTAACTAGTACTGATAATTATGCTATCTAATCCAATGGCCATGAGACGTAAATTTTAATTTTTTTTGTCTAACCAGTTAACCAATTGACCTGCAATAACTTCAACTTTTTTTTATTATTGGTTATATCTGAAACAAAATGACAAAGATAGTCATCACCAGGATCTTTCACAATAGAATATTGTTCTTCTTTAATCAAAAAAAGACAATTTTTTTCATTTACTTTTATTATATATCTATCTAATGTATCTATTCTCTAGGAAGTGACCGGGGCCCCGCCTCGACTAAAAATAATAATTTTTGCAAACTCGGCCCCGGCCCCGCAAAATTATAAGAATTTGCATGGGTTGATAGCCAGGGCGAGAAAAACATTTATAATAATTTATACTCTATAATTTCATGCTTACATTTACTATTTATTAAATACTGGCATATATTTATGTATTTTTAAACTCTAATTTACTTCTAACAAGATTTCAAGCAACCACTATTAAGTTATGAGTTACTTTAAAATAGAGAATAAGTTAAATTACAAGGAAACGGTTAACTGAAGACTTAAAAAGTTGAAGATTGTTTAAAAAAGAAAACATGAAGATGGGTAAAAGTTATAAGGTTTTTTGATGAGCAAGGAAAAAACTGAATTACTGGAATTTTCTATAGCTAGAAGAGACAGATACAGTAAAAGGATTCAACTTATTAAATAAAAAGCTTAACAAGAATGGGTTTTGGTTTATCGTAATAAAGATGATAGCTCGTTTGAGCATTGGTCATGAAATGCAACCTTACAACAATGGGAGAATGAACCAAGCTTTGCAGATAAAGCAGGTATAATTACATTCAGAATGTGTTTTGTCTGAGAGTAAAAGGGTTGTTATTCATCAATATCGGAATCCCAACATTATTGCAATATTTTTTTGCAGTAAATAAATGAGTTTTGTTGTCTAACAAAACTTGTGGATTTTAAGTCCAGAACTTAAATCCATAATTTACTGTAAGCTATAGACTGTTACAGGAGAAAAATCAGATTAGAAATTGGCTGCTTGTTCCAAGCAAACAAAAAGTGAAGATTTTTTGTCAAGATAAGGATATAAAGTTGAGTTGTCAGCAAATAGAGCTACTTTAGATACGAAAATTTCATGAAGATTTCTTGAAATGAAAATTTCCTGTATTGTTTCTTATTGTAGATAAGAAACAATACAGGAGCAAAGATAGAACCTTGTGATACCTTAGCCTTCAAAAATAAATATTGTAGCCTTCAAAAATAAATTTAACAGTTGGAAAGAAGAAATTAAATAATCTCAAAACCTAAAGAAACTAATAACAGATTGAAGAAACTAATAACATATTGAAGAAACTAATAACAGATTGAAGAAACTAATAACAGATTGAAGAAACTAATAACGGATTGAAGAAACTAATAACAGATTGAAGAAACTAATAACAGATTGAAGAAACTAATAACAGATTGAAGAAACTAATAACAGATTGAAGAAACTAATAACAGATTGAAGAAACTAATAACAGATTGAAGAAACTTATAACAGATTGAAGAAACTAATAACAGGTTGAAGAAACTAATAACAGATTGAAGAAACTAATAACAGATTGAAGAAACTAATAACAGATTGAAGACTGATTGCAGGATAGTTGAATAGGTCATTTCAAGTTTCAAGATAGTTGAATGTGTTTTCTAGAGTTTTGAAAAATTAGAACCACTTATTTAGTACTTTTTAAAAATTTAGCAAAAATTGAAAAGAGTTTTGGAGAACAATTTTTTAAGACTATGATGGATTTTTTGTCTTAAAAAATCGAGCACAAACTGTAGAAGTTATTAATTGAGAAAAAACTTTAGTATTGGAAGCCAGAGTCTTGATGTTTAACAGTGGGTTAATCTATTTAACCAGCATAAAGAGTATGGCAATTAAATTTAACAGTATTAGAGTAATATTTCGTTGCAATTAACTATCCATTATTCAGGGAAGAATTAAAAAGATCAGACCCATGAATTAGAGAATAAATGCTAGTAATACTTTAGTCATTGAAGACTAACCGAAAGTCTCTAGAACCTCAAATCTGAGATAAGATACAAGATTTAGTAAACTGAGAATAAAAAAGCTTAACATCAGACAGAACCTACATTGGCTTCTTGGAATAATAAAACGACATTTTTTCTTTAGAGAGATGTTCTTGTAAAAAAATGAATAATATATAATAAAGCTCCATTGTTCAGTTATATAAAACTTTAGCTGTTCAAACACTAACGTATGGTCTTGAGCTGTGTGAACATGAAAAAATGTTAATGCAAAAGTTTGATATAGCTGGAAGAAATGCACTTAAGTCACTCCTCGATGTTTCAAAACATAGCAAAAATTATATTCGCATCTTATTTTTTATTGAAGATATATCAGTTATTATACAACAAAACAAGCTAAACTTATTTATTCGCCTGATGAACAATAAAGTGACATATGATATTATTAAGTCGCAGCTGAAAAACGAAACAGCCCTATAACATTTTTTAGATAGTATCAAAGGCTTGTGCACCAATCATGAACTAAATCTGGAAACAATAATGGAAAGTGAAAAAAAATAAAAATCATTAGCCTTAGAAATTTAATTCCTGAGACGGATCTTCAAACTCTAAAATTTGCAGTTGAAAGCTGGAACTTAAAAGAGCAGAGAACTATCTTCAAGGACATTCTTGAAAAACATATTCCTAGATGATCACGTTAAAAAAAAAGAAAAATTCCGAAATTTTTTATATTTATCTTGTATGAAACTCTTAATTTACCTTACTTGTATAGTATGTGTTTAATAAATCTAAATAAAATAAAATAAAGTAACTGTTCAAGATGAGGAATGTGGATTAAAACAAGGCTTGACTTAAAATTGAAAAGAGGGAATAAAGGCCTCTAAACCTTTATTCTAAAAGAAATAAAAACTTTATGCGTACATATTATTGATATAAACATATATGTTTGCTATTTATTTAGATGTTGGCATACAATATCCTTTCATATTTATATAAACTTTAGTATTTATATAGTTAAATTTGCCGAAAGAGAAGATGATCAGATGGATGTGTGGTGTAACTCTAGCAAGACAAGAAAAGAGACAAA